GTGCTGTTTGTTGCCTCTGCTGTCACCCCCCCAATGAGATGCTGCCTCACTATGGGGACTCCCCTGTGCATGTGGAATGAAATGTACCGCATTGTGCCAATACACATAGCATGCATTGCCGTGTATTATGTAATGCTGCATTTCCTGTTGCGGGACTTTACTTCCTCTATAATGCCGAGTGTTACATAAAAGATGAAAAGATCCGACAATAAAAGGAAGTAAAATAGATTGCAATGTGTGTGTGTTCCCCCAAATTCTGCGTATTCCACTCTTATCGGTTATAAAACATCTTAACAGGAAAGTCAGTGAAGCAGCTGGGCCAGCACTGAATGTCAGCAGAACACATGTCTCTGCATTCATAGCATAGTGGTCAGAGACATGGAAATGATCATCTCCTGCATGTCAGCTAATGTGCCGCAGCCACTGGAAGGGGAAAGTGAGTCTCTGCGCAGCGCTGGAGGAGCAAGGTCGTCCTGCCGCCTTCATGTTAGCGTGTGTGGGCAGAAATCTTCAGATCTGACATGATGTCCCACCTCTGCAGGAGAGTCACATATAAAATATGGGCACATATGTCACAACCCTTTCCTCCCCGCAACACCAAGCGGCACGCCGACTCCAAAATCTTAGTCCATGTAGGATTGCCGGGATAAAGTATAAATATGTCCTGACCTCGGTCCCTGGCGTGGCTGCACGGGTGATAAGTCCGCCCCTAGTGCTGTGCACGGCTGCATACAAGCAGGAACAGCAGGGCCCCGCGGTGGCCCCCGTCTGCCTGATCTCTTGTGTCCGGGTCTAAGCTGCCATGAAACCCGGACAGGTGGCAACCCTACCAGGAACACACGTGTGCTGTGTACAGACAATGAACATAGATGGCTGTACGGCGGGCAGAGGCGGCTCTCTCATTGGGTGAGTTAGGCCGTCACCTAAGGCCTCGCACCCCCCCGGGGGCCTCACAGCGGCCTAAAGGAACGAGTGGCTCAGGGACTGATGAAGAGTAAACGGGGAGGAGAGAACGAGCATGAAAGGGAAGCACTGGAGACATGAGGGTAAAGGGAAGGAGAGAATGAGCATGGAAGGGAAGCACTGGAGACATGAGGGTAAAGGGAAGGAGAGAATGAGCATGGAAGGGAAGCACTGGAGACATGAGGGTAAAGGGAAGGAGAGAATGAACATGAAAGGGAAGCACTGGAGACATGAGGGTAAAGGGAAGGAGAGAATGAACATGAAAGGGAAGCACAGGAGACATGAGGGTAAAGGGAAGGGGTGGCTGAAGGCTGACTGACAGACTACACCTTACAAAGGGAGGATGATGACACAAAGGGAGAATGACGCAGAGCAATACATTCCCGGCCCTCAGACCTCAGCTCCCCCTTTCTTGTGATGAAGTGAGGGTCCGGTTGGAGAGAGGCCCCTCCTCCGACGCTCAGGCTATCAGGCCAGGATAGCAGCATGAGGTCCGCTGCCCACCCCGCTCACTGTGGCAGGAACACTGGCGCTGTGGATGTCTGATGGAGAGTTGGGCCTCCTTGGTCTTTCCTGGTAGCTCCTCCCCCCTCCGGCCTGCGTTCTGTCACTTCAGATCTGTGGTCCTACATCCCTGGTCCCTGACTAGTCCTAGTGGCAGCCCGTTCCCAGTGGTGATGTGACACTCAGGCACTTCTGGTCCGGCCTCACAATCCTCCGCCCGGCAGTCCCTAGGAGAGTGATGACCTCGCAGACAATGATTTCCACCACGCAGCACTGCAATGCTCAGACCCTCCCTGGTCACAGGTGACAGTCCTAATGCTGCTCCTAAAGGTCCCGCTACAAATCCAGTCTTTTTACCTGACGTGATCCTGTCTTTTATATTTTACCAAAAAATTGGGTAATAATAAATGTTTTATCATTTAATATTGGGGAAAGTTTTTTTATTTTATTTTTTATTTCGGTAATTTTTCCTTTAATATCGTAAAAAAATTAAAAAACCCCTCCCCCCTCCAGTGGTGATTAAATACCACCAAAAGAAAGCTCTATCTGTCCCCAAACAATGGTATAAAATTCATTTCAGTACAGCGCTGCATGACGGAATAAATGTCAGTCAAAGTACCGCAGCGCTGAATACTGAACAATGGCCTGGATGGGAAGGGCGTGTAACGGGATGTCAACTGGTTAAAAAACACATGGGTGATAGGGGCCACAATCCCATGGGGCCACTTTTCTTATTTTGCTTTTGTGGCCTAACAGGAGCCAAGATGCAGAGAAATGACTGGGAGGTCCTCCTCAGAGATATACTGGAGGCTGTGACTATGAGTAAAAATGAAACAACGAGAGAAGGAGCGCTACAACCCTGGAATACTTCATGTTTAACAGTTTAGAGATTTTGTGTAACTTTTAGTGCAGACTCACTTTTGGACGGACGAGGTGGTATCTTGCCGTCGGTTGTCAGCACGGCTCACCGGGCGGCATCTGTGGCTGGTCTGTGTGGAAGTGAACTCCGGGCTATAAGGCTTCTGTTGGGTCCATGGATGTTGGAAGGTGGTTACTGTAACTGGATGACCAGTTGAGGCGAAGTACACTATGCGTGTAGTGTGACACTCACCGTCAGGTGCAATGAGAGCTCAGTTGGCCAGGCTGCCACTCATCGGCTGAACGGGAGCAGGAGCGCCGCTGTACACCCTTCTGACAGTGGGGCAGTGGTCGCTATGGAAGGGGTTAAGGAGCAAGCCTCAGGCTAGAGGACCTTGCGGTCCATGGAGTGGTCGGTGTGGCTACGCGTTTCGAGGCTCTGTACCTCTTTATCAAGCCAGAAGTAGTTCTGAGATAGTTCCAAAGTGTGACTATGAGTAATACCTCGTTAGTAAATCTTACAAGTACCGTGCAAGGTCTGAAAGAGGAAGTCCAATAAGTAACCAACCTAAGTTATCTTATTATCTTTTTTTATCAGTCAGAGAGGTATCATTTACCTCTCTGACTGTTCAACAAAACGGAGCGCGCACAGAGGACTTAGAACATAGACCCCGGCGTAGAGCTGTGCTGCACCACGTCAGCCTTTGAATGAACACCGCCGTCGATCGCTGTGATCCGCTCCCTTGGGAGGGGGGGGGGCCCAAGATAAAATCTTGCACCAGGGCCCTTTGTTCATTAGGCTCGCCACTGTATCAGAGACTATTAAAGATTGGGACGCTCCACTACCAATAGACAAACATTCAGGATGGAGGTCCTGGAAGCAATCTCTACATGCCTCAGATGGAATCCACATACCACGCTGCTACACTTCAACCTCCCTTGCTGCAAGTCAGAGAAGAGAGAGTCACATCTTCTGAGATGCATCTACTGAGGCCATAGCAGCTGTCACCTACCTCAAGGTGAGAGACCCCTCTAATCACACCCATGGGGGAGGGGGGGTCTCTGTTTGGGAAGGATAAGTTGGCACCTAAGCCTGAGCACACAATTCCTAGGCTTGGACTCTGTGGCTCTGTGCTAGCTGTAGAAGTTGCAGACTTCATACTGCGTGAGCGAGACATTCAGAGAGAGGACATCAAGTTCTACGCAGACAGCAAAGTTCCTCTGGGCGACATCTACAACCAGACAAAGCGCTTCTATGTCTATGTCAGCCACCGTATAGAAAGGATCAGGTGCAGGGCCCCGTATTCTAGACTTGTGCGCCGTCAAAAAACTTGTTTCGTTCCGTTTCGGAATATCCGTTATTTCGTAATTCGTGTCCGAAACTCAATTCGGATTCGTACGAAATACAGATTTTCGTTACTTTCGGCACATTTTCGTAACTTTACGAACATTCGTTATGATGAAGTTAAAAAGCAGAAATACCTTTGTTAATATTGGAGTCGATGTGGTAGTTGTTTTTTTTATCCGAAATACGAATTCCGTTAACGGATTCCGGATCCGAATTTCGTAAAAAAAAACTACCCTCAACTCCAATATAAATGTACTTTGCTTTTTACCTTCAATATAACGAATGTTCGTAACGGAACGAAAATACGTCAACGGAATTTCGTATTTCCTGCCTGTGTATTGTAATGCATCAGCAGCAGCGGATCCGTATCTCGGATTAAAAAAAAAATCTTGTAAAACGTGTCCAACCTCATTTACAGGGGTAATATTAGTTCCCGTTTCAAAGAAATTCGGATCCGAAATTCGTTAACGGAATTTCGTATTTCGGATATAATTCGGAAACTGCAATTCGGATTTCGTATGTTTCCGAATTTACGAATTTCAGGAAAATTCCTATGAATTTCGAAACGAATCGCACATGTCTACTGAACACCGTCCGTTCCAATCCCAGTAGGAGATCGCCTGACTCCTCTCTGACTTCTGGGGGCGTTTTCCTGACTCCTGAACACCCTCCGTTCCAATCCCAGTGGGAGATCGCCTGACTCCTCTCTGACTTCTGGGGGCGTTTTCCTGACTCCTGAACACCGTCCGTTCCAATCCCAGTAGGAGATCGCCTGACCCCTCTCTGACTTCTGGGGGCGTTCTCCCAGCAGGAGCTAATTCTCCCTAAGCCAGCACCCTTTTCTTAATGGCTGTGCAATTATCGAGTGCTGGCCACTGCTAAAGCCCGGACCCAGGACTGGGGATCTCATCTTCCCTCCTGAAGCACCTTGAAACCTCCCAGTTCCAGGATCCCCACTGACAAACCCTTTGCTTCCCGACACGCCTCACCCCATCTGGCTGAGAGTCCCTGGTGATCATAACACCCAATTCTACAGCGGGATTCCCCCGCACACAATACCACAGTATGTATTGTTTGTTATTTTTTGTTGTTTTGATGTGTTTTATATGCGATTTGTCCGACTACAAGGGGCGGGATCAAATCACAATTACCACCGAGAATGACGGCACAATGATAGATCTCTCAAGAGGGCATTTTAAAGCTCAGGTGACCCCACACTGGCACAGGTGACCCCACACAGGCACAGGTGACCCCACACCGGCACAGGCGACCCCACACCGGCACAGGCGACCCCTCACCGGCACAGGCGACCCCTCACCGGCACAGGCGACCCCTCACCGGCACAGGCGACCCCTCACCGGCACAGGCGACCCCTCACCGGCACAGGCGACCCCTCACCGGCACAGGCGACCCCTCACCGGCACAGGCGACCCCTCACCGGCACAGGCGACCCCTCACCGGCACAGGCGACCCCTCACCGGCACAGGCGACCCCTCACCGGCACAGGCGACCCCTCACCGGCACAGGCGACCCCTCACCGGCACAGGCGACCCCTCACCGGCACAGGCGACCCCTCACCGGCACAGGCGACCCCTCACCGGCACAGGCGACCCCTCACCGGCACAGGCGACCCCTCACCGGCACAGGCGACCCCTCACCGGCACAGGCGACCCCTCACCGGCACAGGCGACCCCTCACCGGCACAGGCGACCCCTCACCGGCACAGGCGACCCCTCACCGGCACAGGCGACCCCTCACCGGCACAGGCGACCCCTCACCGGCACAGGCGACCCCTCACCGGCACAGGCGACCCCTCACCGGCACAGGCGACCCCTCACCGGCACAGGCGACCCCTCACCGGCACAGGCGACCCCTCACCGGCACAGGCGACCCCTCACCGGCACAGGCGACCCCTCACCGGCACAGGCGACCCCTCACCGGCACAGGCGACCCCTCACCGGCACAGGCGACCCCTCACCGGCACAGGCGACCCCTCACCGGCACAGGCGACCCCTCACCGGCACAGGCGACCCCTCACCGGCACAGGCGACCCCTCACCGGCACAGGCGACCCCTCACCGGCACAGGCGACCCCTCACCGGCACAGGCGACCCCTCACCGGCACAGGCGACCCCTCACCGGCACAGGCGACCCCTCACCGGCACAGGCGACCCCTCACCGGCACAGGCGACCCCTCACCGGCACAGGCGACCCCTCACCGGCACAGGCGACCCCTCACCGGCACAGGCGACCCCTCACCGGCACAGGCGACCCCTCACCGGCACAGGCGACCCCTCACCGGCACAGGCGACCCCTCACCGGCACAGGCGACCCCTCACCGGCACAGGCGACCCCTCACCGGCACAGGCGACCCCTCACCGGCACAGGCGACCCCTCACCGGCACAGGCGACCCCTCACCGGCACAGGCGACCCCTCACCGGCACAGGCGACCCCTCACCGGCACAGGCGACCCCTCACCGGCACAGGCGACCCCTCACCGGCACAGGCGACCCCTCACCGGCACAGGCGACCCCTCACCGGCACAGGCGACCCCTCACCGGCACAGGCGACCCCTCACCGGCACAGGCGACCCCTCACCGGCACAGGCGACCCCTCACCGGCACAGGCGACCCCTCACCGGCACAGGCGACCCCTCACCGGCACAGGCGACCCCTCACCGGCACAGGCGACCCCTCACCGGCACAGGCGACCCCTCACCGGCACAGGCGACCCCTCACCGGCACAGGCGACCCCTCACCGGCACAGGCGACCCCTCACCGGCACAGGCGACCCCTCACCGGCACAGGCGACCCCTCACCGGCACAGGCGACCCCTCACCGGCACAGGCGACCCCTCACCGGCACAGGCGACCCCTCACCGGCACAGGCGACCCCTCACCGGCACAGGCGACCCCTCACCGGCACAGGCGACCCCTCACCGGCACAGGCGACCCCTCACCGGCACAGGCGACCCCTCACCGGCACAGGCGACCCCACACCGGCACAGGCGACCCCACACAGGCACAGGTGACCCCACACCGGCACAGGTGACCCCACACCGGCACAGGTGACTCCACACAGGCAGACCAAACACGTGTGACCACACCGGACAGGGCAGAATGATATACGGTTTAATAAACGGCAACACTAAACAACACCCAAAAGCAATCATCAATAAGTAACATCAACAAGACTACAAGCAAGGTGATGGCAACATGAGGACAAGCAGTAGTAATTCAGGAATCACTGCGCTAGGACTAGATGTCTAAATAACTAATAAGACCAGCCGCAACTACGTGTCAGAGTGACTATATAGTGACGCAAGTGAGTTGCGCTCGGGCTAAGTGAATGCGCATTCTCAAAGTGTAAAAGAACAATCTCTCAGTTCAAAGGAAACCCTGAACTCTGTAAATGCCGGAAACCGCTGATCTCGGCATGTGATAAATTGTCAGATCAATTATAAACCATCAGAATAACAGAACCAGCACGTTTTATCAATCAGTGTTTGTGTAAGAGAAGTGCCGGGCTGGAACAGTGTAGCCCAGAAACACTCTGTTGTTGGGGACAATATATCAAAAGAACTTATTTACCATCCGTGTGTGAGTGAGCAATAGGTCAAAGGCTTTCTATGCGCAAACTTGGTGCAGTGATCAGAGAAAAAGAATCATTTCATTATCACTAATCGTGAAGAAAAACCGGTGGTAGAGACCTCGGGATTATCCACACACTTCCTCAGGGTCACAGTAACCCATATAGCCAGTATATAAAGTATTGCTGGGAGCTGTAGTCCTCTGTAGCCGAAG